TTGAATTTTAATAGAGTATGCTAAATATATATTAAACAAATGAGAAGAATAAATAGAAAACACTCTTATTTTTCAAATAACCGAGACTTCCAATTCAACATCCTAATTAGCATTAGCATTTTTCTTCTGTGAGGTGTGAATAATGATAGGTGGTCACTTTTACAAATAAGAGATTGAATATAATTCATCAAAGGTGCGTAATGACAAGTAGAACGCACATTCTCTTGAATAAGTTCTTCATAGTCGTTCGAGAATCAAACTCGCAAACCACATTTCTAAAACTATGATTATGACAAATATCAAGACCATGAGAAATGGCTTGAAGCTTGACATTAATATTAGATGTGAAACCACAACTTCCTACAAAATCTATGATCCAATCTCCATAAGTGTTTATCAAAAGACCATGAAAGTCAGATGCCATGGGTTATCAATGGAGTTACCATATACATTGACCTTTATCATATTTTATAGGGACAGTGCCAAGAAATAAGTCTATGGGACTGATACCTTATTAGAACCACCAAAAGCTTTCTTGTTAGAGTGTAAAAGAGTAGTGATTTTTGGCTAAGAATATTTTAGAAAGAGCGATTGTTATCTTTGAAGAATTATTCGTTACTAGAATTACTACTCATCCAACAACAAATGAGAAACAAATGAGCATGATTGGAAACCACATTAATTTTCATCCAATTATGTATACCTTCCTCTTAAAAATGATTGTGAGATGAAAAACCGAAATTGTTTTAAACTTGCAGGCCTTAGGGCAATCTTTAAGAGTGTTAAGATGGTTTCACTAATTACACCCCATTTATAACAAGAGGCGTACGTTGAAATATGATGAGTGACTTGAGTAAAGTTCATAGGTAACTTCTCATGCATGATGATCCAAACATAATGAAGAATATTTTCAGATAACTTAAGGTTCCAAATTCAAGGTCAAGTCATTGTCTAAATTTTAGGTGGATCGGATATCAAAGTTAACCAAGAATAAAGTGATTTGTTAGAATAAGTGTCTAATACAAAAGGTTCCCAAATAAGAATATCATTTGAGTTGTCATTAGTAAGGACATTAGTCATCTCCATTTTTATATTCTAAGGAAGATGGGTGAAAATGATGGCAAAATTCCAAGTATCTTAGTTGGGGACATTTATGACATGTAGTTGTGTATCCTACTCATCCACCAAAGAAATCATGTCATAATTATATAATTAAGAGTCATTTATGATACCTGATGGAAATCCCCCTTATCCCTCCTAGTGACAAAATTTGGACTGAGTCTCAACTGCTTTAGTAATAGAACGTCATGTGTATGATGCTCTGTGATAATTATTCACCTCTAGGATATTGGGTTCCAAATTATATATAGTTGATAATAATTGAACTCATAACTTGTCATGATTGTGAAGAAGCTCACAAACATGTTTATCCAGCGTGGAAACATTAACAGGTCTGGCTTTCCTAATCTCAAGACCACCTCTAGTAGAAGGTTCACTACTATAACGCGAAAAGCGTTTTACCTCGATTTCAGAAGCGACGTAAATAAGATCGTCTTAAAAAATATGGACTTATCACCATGGTGTTTAAAACACTGAGGGATATTGTAATTGCGCGTGAATTTGAACCCTACCAGCTGTATTTTTATTATTTACAATAATAACGTCTCATGTATCTCGATTTATCAATAAAACCGAGGGGTAAATTATTTGTATTTTTTAATTTAAACTGGTTACATTGCTTACACAGAAAATTAATAAAATAATTTATTTATAAAATACAATGTTTACCCGGAATATTAAATTGGTTACATTGTTTACACAAAATATCAAAATAAAAATTAAATTTTCCATGAAGATCATATGTTGGATCTTCAAATCCTTGATTTTTTGAAATGATCAAATGCTGATAAACAATAAATTTTCTACGGTTTTTTCTTGCATTTGTCTCTGATATCAACAAAAAAAGAGTTAGATAAAAAATGGTTAGATAAAAAAAAGATTAGATAAATAAATATTTAAGTACACAAACCTTAAACCCAAATAACTTTCTGCTCTTGCAATCAATCATAGAGAACTCTTCATGACAAAGACTCTTGCATATCTTAAAGTGGAAGATAGTTTCAAGCGCTTCATTATCAATTTTTAATATTCAAAATGCTTTTATAATGGAGGTTAATATAAGTTTCACGCGGATCACTAATGGTAGTGTCTTGAGCGTTGATAGTCATGAAATGGATGGTAAAAATTTGATTAAGGACAGTGACACATATCCTCAACTTTAACGCTAAAATATTCCCTGAATTTTTAGGAACACCGAGATGTAAGATTTTTTTTTTTTGAAGTTATATTGTTTACAAAGAATATTAAAACACAATATTACACAAATTCTCACTTCTGATTTTGGCTTAGTGAAATTAACAAAAGCATATCCTTTATTTAACCTAGTTCTACAAATTAATAGTACATCACACACAATCATCAATCATCATTATTTTTAAAGTATGAACTTTGAATGTTCTAGAGAAGGAATTTGGTAGCGTATTTGAATTTGATAGACAAAAGCAAAGGAGAAAGTGTTTTCAACAACAAATCTTTGGTGGAATCCAAATTTTGTTGCATATCTTTATGTTGCATATCCAAAAAGCACTCCATAGCTTATCCAACTTCAGATAAGTTATTTTATTTTCTGCACTTGCAATTCATCTCAGATATTCTAGATCAAAAGTTTTCATGGCAATGGACAGTGGTAAATATTTCCTCTATCAGATGCGGCTACATATTAGTTAGAATTAGGGTAAAATATGTTTAACAAAGGTATTTATAATGAAATCTGATAACTTTACCCCTCGGCTTAACCACAAAAACGAGGTATAAAATCTTCTGATTATAGCTATCACCTCGTTTTTTTTAAAATCGAGGTGAAAAAGTTTTTTTTTAGAATTTACATTGTTTACACAAAATATTAAAATAAATGGTTTAAAATAAATATTTACTCTTTTGAATGGATATCTTTGCTGATATCCATCATCCGATTAGTTAAGCCTCATTCATTTCATTGTGTTAATTTTTAAAAGAGAAGGAAGCTTCCTTCATTTTCCCCTTGAATTAAGAATAATTTTTCTACACTTGCAATATATCAAATGAGTACAAATACAACAACAACAACAACAACAACAACAACAACATCAACACCATTATGTGAGATAGATTGTAAAGGCATAAAAACCTTTTGTTCTATAAAAATATTGAGGATTTTTTCTGTCTTGCAATTCATCCCAAAGAATGGTGCTTGCGAGTTTGGGACGGCTATAAATAAGTAAGGATTAGGGTAAAATCTTTTTACCTTTATAGTGAAATCTGTTTAATTGATCTCTCGATTATATAAAAAACCGAAGGGTTAAATATTTTAGTATACAATTATAATCAATATAAAACGTAAACTGCAAAAAATTTGACTCGAAGCGCGTCCAATCAGTTTTACCTGTCGGATATATTAGAAACTGAGGTAAATTATTATTTTTATAATTAAAAAATATAAAACATGACGCGCCTATACTTAATACCTCGTTGTTTTTCTAGATGACATGAAGACTCCATCATAAAATGCATTATTTGTTGTAGTGGTTGAGATATGGAATCCCATTTAACTCAATGGCTAGATTTTCCTCCCAAACAAACTGATTTATACAAGAATCAATCTTACTACAAATGCCTACTAGAAGTCACAAATTATATATAGTATAAATAGGCATAAAACCAATCACACGCTTAGCAAGAGTCACTCTCGCATGTCTACTAAGAAACTTGCCTTTCCATCCAGCTAAACGAGAATTAATTTTATCAATGATAAAAGAGAAATTTATATTTGTGAACCTATGAAAAAGCAAAGGAAATCCAAGATATTTACCAACATTAAAGCATGTCGAAAGTTAAAAATACCTTCAAATTTTATCACATTTATCTGAGATAAATTCTTAAGGAAAAGAAATTTAGATTTATGAACATTAATATTCATACCAGAGATTTTGCAATGAGACTTTTAAGACTCATCCATTTTAAGAATAAAAATGATAAGAGTCTAAGAAAAATAGTTAGATATACAACCAAAAGAAAAAGCATCATACACTAATTTCCAAACATCTATACGCCAATATGTTGTAAATAAAACGGATTACATTTAATCCCTTAAAATCAAACCTACCTTTTAAGATGAAGAAAGTCAATATATGAATTGAGTAGAAGATCTACATGCATTTCACACAAGTATACACTTTAGACAAACAAGTTTATTTTACACATATTCAATCATACTCAAACATGTAAACATTTGTCTTGAATACTTTAAGAAATGATAATATTATCTAAACATGGCAACATAGTTTATGATTAAGCACAAGCATATTCTCTTTACATTAAGCTTGAAAAACATAAAGTGAAAGATACTCATTTGACTTTAAATAACCAAACACCAAAATGCAATAAGAACCACAAATATTGATGGATTGTTTTTGAAAACATTAAATGTAAATGGTAAACTTCACACAAAAACAAAAAAAAATGTCGGTGTCACGGCGCCTCCCATATTATCAAATGCCAGCCATTCATTCAATATTCAATGTGAAATGAAAATTGAAAACACATTATTAGTTATGGCAAAACCACACATTTTCATCACCAAATATGGACCCTAAATTCTCAAATTACGTCTACTTAACACATAGACTTTTTGTACACACATGCTCACATGCTTGCTTCCCCAATTAACACACAACTTTTATAACCGACTTTTCTTCCCTACCTATAACATCTACTTCCATAAACATTCAACAAAATGTCACCCTACAACATTTATCAATTTTCTTTATATACATCAAAGGGTGAATGCATTAATTAACAAATAAAAGCTAATCTAGCTAGCTTTTTTTTTTTAACTTGGTGACCAAATTAATTATTACAAATCTATACATGGACTAAGAAAGAAATACATTCATCCTTTGATGTTATTGTTGCTTCTTGTGTGGGCAAGTGCACTTTGCTTGACAATCTTGAAGCTTCTATACAAGTGTGTATACATAGATCCAAACATGTCATGTGTGGAAACAAAATTAATCAGATGATAATCCATAATAAGATATGTATTGACATAATTGAGATATTGCTTTTTGAATTACCTGAGCTTGCTTTTGAAGGTCTTTGATGTAATCCACAGCCAAGTCTAACATATCTGCTGTATTTGTTTGCTGCAAAAATAACAAAGGAACAATTTTGTACCTTAAAGCATCCACAAATTTACTATGACTCAGAATCACATAAGAGATGTGGTACGGTTCACGAATATTATTGTTATATGAACCTTAGAATTGTATATATATTATTTGTAATAGTGAAATCCTAATTCATTCAAATAATAATACGGAACTACAACCGTAATCGGAGACGTAGGCACATTTGGCTGAATTGCTGAACTGCATAAACAAATATTGTGTCTTATACCTTATCCATGTTTGGGACGAGATCTTGTAGCTTCCTCATACGTTCGCTAATTTTAGTCCTTCTAACCTAAAGACGCGAAGAACGGAAATTAAGTCATCTGGCTCAATAAACTTTAGTTGAAAACGAAGTGTTTGAGAAAACCTACGGCTAGAACGATTCTTGGTCAAATTTTACTTCTTGATAAGATAAAAATGAAATTATAACCTTAAACCAATAATCCATACCCTCTCAGCTATGCTTCTTGGGTGAGTAGCACAGCCTCGTTTAGCGCGAATTTTCATCGGTACAGAATCAGAAAAATGCAGAAACTTCTCAATAGCTGCCATTTCAGATGAAGTATTTGGCATACTCAACTGATGAGCCAATGGAGAAGATGAATGTCCTCCTCCTGTTTCATTCTAATCAACCACAACAAAATCATGTCAAATTATCGAGCAATCTTAGATTAACCGCCAAGATCGTTTAATGCGCGAAAAACTTCAGAATCCAAGTTTAAACCATGTTACATAGTAATCTACCTGAACTGCAGCTGCATTAAAACCAGCAGAAAATTGTTGTTTTGAATCACTATCTCTAAATCTTTTCAAACCACCAACATTTTCAGACATCATTTCGGTATCATCCCAAGTATCAACCTGATAATCCGCTATATAACGGTTACCATGAGTTTCACCAAAAACTTCACTTTCTTGATTATTTTCTTCATTGCATTTGTCCCCAACTTCAGCTATTGTTGACATTATCCCAGATGAATAGTTTACTGAACTCTTCAAACTCCTTCCACTAGAAAATTTTGCATCTTTCATAGAACTATTAACAGCTCCTAAATTTCCCATTCCTCTCATACTAACATACCCTGCCAAAAAGATAGCTTAATAACTAAAATTCCCACGGCTTTTTTTTCACCACTCAAGCACGGACTCTGACACATACACAAGACACGGATGCCCCAGTTATCAAACACGATGCCGACACTGACACGTAAATATCAGTAACAATTTTAAAAAAATTAAAAAATAAATAAATTAAACATAATCAGTATCCCAGACAAATTTTTTCAAAGATAAATGCGGTACAAATTGTGAATACAAAATATATAATATAATGTCAAACATAAAAGTAAATATTAAGGAATATATGCAACCCTAAAGAGATCTTTAAAAAATAGCATCATAAATCCCCTGAGAACAAAATTTAAAAATGAAAATTTTTTTCTAGAAAAAATAATTTAAAATCAATAATAAATTAGAAATTATACATACCATTTTCAATGTTGATTTGAGAAAATAATCCAGCTGGTGAACTACTATGTCTAATAAGATTAGAATTATTTCCACCATGACTCTTCATCTGCTGTAACCTATTAACTTCCATTGAAAACCCACCATCCAAACCAGAAACAACATTCTGGTTTGGCAAAGGTGGCATCACTGAGGTTTGATAAAAACCATGAGACTGTTCATAACTATTACTCTGATGATGATGATGATGAACAATCTGTTCTTGTTCTCGTACTTGTTCTTGTTGTTCTTGTTGTTGGTGGTGTTGGTTAATGTTAACGTTAACGTTAACATTAACAATTTCGTCTTCTTCTTTTACCGTCGATTCAACTATTCTCTGAGTGAGTAAATCATCTTCTGAACCTAAACTGTTCATAAACCTTGAAAAAACACGCTCTGTTTCTGGACTTGAAGGTCGATTGAAAACATGCTCGTAGAATTCTTTATCAATGATGTTGTTGAAATATGAACTTGGTGCTGATCGGTACCGTGTTAAACCTGAAGAACTCACCTGTGGTTGTTGCTGTTGATGAAGATCTGACTCCATAGCTTTTTTTCTTGAATTCTCTACCTTGAGAATTTTTCTTCTTCCAAAAAAATTTAAACTTTCTTTGACCCTTTTTTCAGATCTATAACTAGAAAAAAATAATTCATTATTTTTTGGAGTTTGAAGTGTGATGTATGTTGAGTATAGCAGAAACAGGACAAAACAGAGGAATGGAAAATGAAGAAAAATATATAATAAAAAATTATGAGAAAATTAAAAAAATATGAATGTTTTTTTTATAAGTTATTGAGAGAAGGTAAAGAGAAGAATAATAATTTTATTTATTTACTTAATGATTTGAAAAAGAAAAATGAATGAAGAGAACAAGAAGAAGAACACCAACCTCTGTTTGAAAAACAGAACACTTTTTATTTGTTGTTAATGTTGTTGTTGTTGTGGTTTGGGTGGTGGAGATGCTTCTAGCTGTAGTGTGTTGTTGGAAAGAGAAAGAAAGGAAGAAAGAAAATATTTTAAATTTTGTGTAGCCAATGGAAAGTGAAAAACATGGTGAGAAATGTTTGGGTGTAGGATATGATGTAATAAATTTTACTATAATGTCCTTGATTTTGGGAACAGAGTGAGGGTGACACGTGAGGAGTTGACAGGGGAGAAAAGGGGAAAAAGATGATTTAGTTTTGGGGAAAGCAATGTAGGTTTTGATAAAATTGGAAGGATACCAGGTGAAGTGGACTTTATTATTGGCTATACAGCTGCATCGAACACACTAGAAAAATAAACTATGATTTACACCAGTAAAAAAGTACTATGGTCTGTCAATTTGGTATTGGGTGAAATTATATTGCTTTAAGGGTACATATTGTGAAAATAGAAGTTTAATTGAAAAAAGTTTTAGTTAAAATAGTTAAATATTATTGAAATTAAAAATTAGTTAAAGGGGACTAATAGGTGATTTTTTAAGTAATTGTGCTTAGTGAGGAACATTGTCCTTTGATTGTGAGTTTATCAACTACTCCAAAGGGAATTAGGTAATGGATATGACATGTTGAGATTCAAATCTACAAAATACAGTAAGGGAAAATAAAATAAAATGTGTAAAATAATTTAATTTGATATATTGTCTTTTTAAATATTTACAAAGTCTAGTATTTATAAGTGAATATTAGTTTTATTGGCTAAGTTATGGTTATTTACAAAGTTTAGCAATGTTCACATATTTATGTGAGTAGTGTCTGAATCTCTCTAAGGAGATGGTCATGATGTTCTACATTCTAACTTAACGCTTTTATTTTTTAGTATGATATGTTGATATTATCCTTATGTATGCAAATTTCTTTTAAGTGTAGTTTTGCAATATGTGTCTTTTTCTATTAATGAAACTATCAACATGCAATATGATCAATTGCAAAGCTCTATTACGTTGTGATTTTTGATAAATCCTAATAGATTTAAGAAAGATTTGAGTAACTCTCGTTAGATTATGTTTATATTTGTTTGACTTTTTATAGGTTAAAGGGAGTTTGCATGTCTATTAATCAATTGTCTTGTCAAGTTTGATTGATATGTAAAAATTCCTCAATGCATTACATTATTGACTAATCATTGATTTTGTTTGATGAAGTGACATAATCAATAATTAACGCACCTAAATCGAATCATCATTGTGCCATAAAATAGAAAAATAGTTGTAAAGAAAACTTGTCTTGACTTATGAATGGTCAAAACCTCCCTTAGTCTTGTCGATTCAATTATCCAATAGTTGTAACTACTTATGATAGTGTCTTGGCTTATCATTGGAAGGTTTTCCATACAAATAATCACGAGCCAGTGGGCTCTACTATCCACTTTTGTTATCTACTTTCGTTTGTACATTGTTTCTTATCTTAATTTGCATAGACCACCGTTCAATTTGTAAGCCTTATGTTAGGAACGAAAATACTCTCACTATCAAAAAAAGATATTTACTTTTCAGGGATCTAAAACTCCATACGTCTTTTTGTAGATTCCTTTTCCCTTGTAGATAAAGAATCTCGTAGAGACAGGAGGCAAAGTCGTGGTCTCTGATGCAAATGAACGATTCAAAATCTAACATTTCAAAGACTCCTTAGAATCTAGTTGTGAAAGTATATCATTCATTTACTCAAATGAAAAGTTGATTCTTTTTAACTAATTGATTGTTTGTTCTTTTCTTTCAATTCAAAAGAAGTCCCATTACTCGTGAATTAGAGATATTTTTTCTTTGTGACCAAAACTTGATTTGATGTCATATGTTAACTCCTTTATAAACTTCATATACTCCTAACACTAAATTAATGTCATGCTCAATAGAGGTCGGTCTCTTGGTAGCGATTGTGTTGCTACTACCAATAAGAAATAGTGATGTGGATGCAATGCTAACATATTGAGATAATTATGGTCAAACCACCATATCTCTTCCAAGAGTGGGAAAAGTGGAGCACATAGTTAATAGATAAGGTAAGAGAATGGGTTCCTCTATTAAGAACGGGGAAGTTATTAGATCCATGGTTTTATGATTGGCATAAATTTTGCTGAAACATGGTTCTTAACTGATATTGAGCAAGATGTCACAACATCTTAACCAACTATCATGATGGGTTCTGTTGTCATGTATATCAGACATATATTGAGCTAGATGTCTTGACATCTTGGCCAATTGTACAACAAATTTTATTATTATTTTTCTTGACATATTTGATTTGATTTTGTGAGATCCTATTGGATATATCTCACTGATTTTTGCAGATCAAGAATATTTTATTAGGAACAATGCAAATTTGATTTAGTTTCATTAAAAAGAATCTTTGAGACTTTTTAGGAAATTTTGAAGATTGGTTCCTATTTGTGTTAAAGATCTTGTAGTTGAGTTAATTTAGAAGATTAGATTTGATTTAAAGAGTCCAAGCCTATTCTACAAGAGTCTATAAGTAAGGACTTGCTAAACTTAAAATAGCAAGCATTCACATTGAAAAAACTGTGGGTGCATGAGGGTTTAGGTTTTTGGAAGTCTTTTAGATTTTTTGTGTTTTTCTTTGTATGTCACTCATGTATCTTCTGATACATTGAAGTTGACTGATTGTTCTTAGTTTAAAGCTTTTAGCAAAATTAAGTATTGTTCTCACTTGTGGGCTTTTAAGCAGAGAGTTGAGTATTGTATTTGAAGTGTAATCTTCTATTTGGTTCTTTTGATTCTAGTCACTAGTTTGTGACTGCATTTATCACTGAGGTAATTGGTGGGAAGTGAGAGATGGTTCTCATATCTAAGAGGTTCATAGGTAGAAATTGCATAGGATAGTGATTAGGTGATAAGTTATAAACTGGAATTGTTTAGGCCTTTAACTAATATTATTATAGTGAATTTCCTTCCTAGCTTGGTAGCCCTCAGAGTAGGTGACGTTGCATTGAATTGGGTTAACAATTGATTATGTTCTTTTACTTTCTGCAATTTATTCTGGCATAGTTTCTATTTTGGTAAAAGTTTCTCTCAACAGATGATGTTATAACATATATCTCGAGATTGTGTTTTATGTTGAGACATCAGTTGTTAAAGTGCCAAAATTTCATAAGTTTTTCAGGACCCATTTTATGTAGTCTTTGTGAAATTGGCTAGCTAATTGGTCTAAATGGATACCAATTATCTGAAAGATGAATTGATTTATTATTCTAATTTTCAACATTTTCCCACATAATGAGGTAATACATATTTAATAATTTTCATTAATGCTTATATTAATTTCTTCACCTTCTATATCCACCAATTGATAGACTCGTCCATTGTGTACCTTACTAACAATGAAGGGTCCTTTGAAGTTTGACTACCATTCTCCAAACTTAGGATCTTTAATCTCAATTGGTAAAATAGTTATACAAACTAAATCACCTTCAATGAATCTCTTTGGTCTAACTCGCTTGTTGTAAGCTTTGCTCATCTTTTGCTTTGAAATCTCAATTCTAACTAAGGTCATTATTGGATATTCATATAGAGAGTCAAAATCCATTAATATATCTTATTTATATTCATAAATATTAGTTGTTTCACCTTTCCCATTGGCTTGAGTAAGTAAATTGATTCATTAATATGTAAGTATGAGATGCAATCTAAGAGGGGAGTGAATTAAGAGTACCTGATTTTTTTTGTTTTAAGCAAAGATTCTTCTCTTTTTATTTTTTCGAAATTAATTAATTAAACTTTGAATGTAAAGAGCGGAAAAAATAAAGAGCAAGAACATAAATGACACAAGGATATTTATACTGGTTTCCCTTTTTAACCAAGGGTACTTCTAGTCATTCCATACCTTGAAGAACTTTTCACTATGTTAGATCTTTGTACAAGTCTCACACCAAGATCTCTCTTACAACTTTCTAACATAAACACCAAACTTATGGTGAACTTTGAATCACTTTGAATTAAATGAATTTTTCCTCAAACACCTAACACTATGGTGTACTTTTAATTACACTAATCCAAAGAACCTTTTACAAACAACAACTTATCATCACAGTCTTGGTGATTAAGTTATAATACACTTATTGAACAATCTTAATCATTTGAATCTTGAGTGAATTCCAAGATAAAGTTTGATCTTGTCTTTCAATGTACAATTATAATATAATAACCTTAATTGCTCAGAAATATTTTGCAAATATATGACAATTTATGCATAAAAATTTTCAATATTTTTAGCGAAAGAATCACATAAAAGCATATTTTAATTGTATGTTAAATTTTAGTGAAAGAAGTAATTTGAAACTTGGTGTATTTTGTAGTAAATACATCTAAAGAAACTTCTTGGATTGGGTGCAAATGAATGGAGAAGTTTCATGAATAATTGCGTTGCATTTAATACATAATGGTTTAAATTTTCCAAAATTTGTAGGGTGTAATCGCTTACATGAATGGTGTAATCTATAACAACCTTTGAAAATAGTCAAAAAATTCTGGAAGAATGTTGATGTAATCAATTACACTATATTGAAATTTGTTTCTTTGACTTTGAGAAGTTGTGACTTGAGTGATATTGATGCATGAATGCTTAGAGACTTTAAAGATGATAAGATGAATGATTTTATAAGCATATAAGGGTATATATATGATATGAATTGTAATTGAATACCTTTGCTTCATGATAAATTTCTTTTAATATAATATCTAATGACTTTTGCAATCTTAAAATTTGATTGAGCTAGACTTCATCCTTTTTCTTCTTTGATAATCTTTTGTCTTCATCAAAGTTAAACCAAGATAGATGATGAATATCTTATGCATAATCTCACCTTTTTTTATGAAGACAAAATATATTAATGGAAAGTTTTTGTTTGACACTTGATGTTCCCTTATCTTGTATATTTCCCCCTTTATTTTGCAATTCATGTTTTATCTTTGGTATTCTAAAAATTAACAAAAACAACCATCTCTTATCCCCCTTTTTGACATTACCAAAAAGAAAAAGAGTAAAATTCAAAGTAAAGTAATATAGGAAAAAGATACATTATATATTAAAGTACTTATCTTCTTCACAATAATTTGATGCCAATATTGATATCAAAGTTATTTCTCTTCCAAAGTGAGTATGTTGATACCAATGAGATTTTATTTAAAAGTGCCAATATTTTCAATCTCATCTTCAACCAAATGAAACTTTAATCTTACCATAACATATG